TTGACTCTCATGAGGGAAAGCGGTGACTGGGGGTGGGGGTTGAGTGGCCCCCTTGCCCTCTGCTCCACCCACTTCTCCTTTATAGTCTTCCTGCCCCTCTGCCACCTGCATCCCACAGCCTCTGCCCCTTCCCCCACCCCCAAATCCCCAGTCTCTGCCTATCCCTGGCACTGCTGATTGGTTGGGCAGGGAAGGAGTTTCCATATGATCCATGCCGGGGAGAGACCCTACCCTGAGCTGGAGTGGAGCTACACCTGACAGTAAGGGGCAGAGGGATAATGGGGTGGATCAGGGGCAGAAGCTTCAGAGGGGAAGCGGAAGGTAGGGCAAGAGGCTGTTGTGGGTCTGACTTTTGCCCCAACCCAGGCTTAAGGCTAGAGTAAGAGCTGCTGCAGCTGCCTGCTTGCCCCCTCTTTCATAAGTGAATATAAGATGAGGAGCCTTTTTTTCCCCTTGCCCGGGGGGGGGGACCTAGTCTTATATTTGAGTAAATATGGTAGTATCAGAGCCAGCCTTAGGGGTAGGTGGTGTGGGAGACTACCCAGGGGGGTGGTCAGGCATGGTGCAGTTCTGCAGGCAGGGGCAGGGCAGCGAGGTACAGTTCTGTTATTACTATTCAGGCAGCAAAGGGGGATGATTGTTAAAACCTGTGAAGTAAAGGAACAATGGGTCATTAACAGGCCATTGACTCCCTTTGCTGCCTGATTAGTAATACATACCAAATCTATACCACCCAGGGGAGAGGAATGGCTGCTTGATGGCAGTGGTGGTGGCAGGAGCAGGGCCAGAGCCAGGATGCTTGTTTTAATTTTCACCAGTTGTGAAGGAAGGAAACAAAACGTCGCAAGTACCTAAAAAGAGGATGTCGGGGCATAGAACAGTAAACAAAAAGCTCAGTTAATGACTGCAATGAAAAAAATGCAGACATGATAAAAAAATACTTGAAAACTGTTGATGATAACCTGTGCAGTAGTAGTGAGATGATGGTCACAGCAGACACATCAGATGAAAAATGCATTGATTATCCACAATTCAACTTCCAAGAATTATTGCAAGAGAAACAAAGAGATCCAAATGAAATAGAAATTCTTCATCTGGACCAGAGTAATAGTGATGCCACTAATGACAGAGATGAACCAACTCATGTTATAGGCATTGGCGATGCCATTTCTATCCTGCTTTATGGCCCATTCTAATGCCCAGTATTCAAGATCTGCTAGTGACCAATGATCCACCAAAAGTAAAGGACATGGGTTTTCCTCTGGGTGAGCAATAGCACCACATTTCTATGACATTTTTATACAGAAATCCTTGAAAATGGCAAGGTTCTGAAGCAGCAATGACTACTTTACTTGGAATCAACTGAAAGGGTTTTCAGTTTCCAATGCAAGTTCTTTGTCTTGAATGCAAAATCATCCCCTTGGAGCTTTCAATATAACATGATGCAACTACCTGACAAAATTTAGAAGAAGCACTGCTGGGTCCTTCATTGCATGTTGACATATGAAAAGAACTCTAATATTAACAGTGTGAACCTCTACAAAGAACTTGGCTATCTCCAGAGTCTACTTCCAGCGGACTGTTGTGCTCCTCAAGAAGTTGTACAATTCATTTACAACAATGAATTTCATGACAACTTCCCATACCCATGGATAGCATTCAGAATCATGTTAACCATGCCCGTAACGGTGGCAAGCAACAAACAAAGCTTCTCAAACCTGAAGTTCTTAAAAACATATTTGCAATCGACCATGGGAGACGACAGGCAATCTTTGCTGGCTATCCTGTTGAGAATGCTGTGGCTCAAAATATAGACCTGTCACAAGCAATATCAGAGAAAATAAACTTTGGTCTTGGGTATTCTCCTGCTTCCTTTCATGGTTCCCACACACCAGTCCACCAACAAGCTCTTACGTATGTTTATATAATGTCTTTGTGGAAATAGCAATTGCTTAATAGAAGAGTAATGTTGAGAAAGTATTAAATACATCTGGAGTGGTTGCTTTTGCTCTTAATGCAGTTTTACTCCTCATGCCCAGCTGACTTCTGGGTCACCAACAAGTTTTCAGTGGTCCAAAGATTGGAGATTGAGAACCTGAGTTAAATCTTTCTAGGTGCTTTTTAAAAATTTAATAGTAATAATCTGAAGGGAACCGTTCAGTTGCAGTTGAGTGCTGCTCAGTGCTGTGGAGTACCTGAGCCATCAAGTAAACATGTCAATACAAGTAATATGGGCTGAGTTTTTTATTTAGATTAACTGCATGGCATATTGCCCAGGTGAGGAAATTCTTAAAGATGAGCTTTAATTTTAGAACGCAGGGGGGGATACAGCAAACTATACAGGAAATGTGTTTGTGTTTTCCCTTGGGTTTTTGTTTGTCAATTTGTGATCTGGACCTTTCTTGCCATCTAGTGCTGCCCTCTGCAGTGCTGTGTGAATCCTTGCATGCTCTCCTGCCTACAACCTACCAGCTGGTTTAAAATCTGCTCCAAGCTTAGGCCTCTCAATTAATGGCAAAATGTGTGTTCATTACTGAGCTGCCTGACTTGTGTTCTGAATTCACTTGAGTGTTTGGTAATTACTGCATGCTAAGGCTTGTTAGTGATTGAGTCTTTCATGCAAAAATAATGGAAGCAGCTGTTGACTTAACATACTGAGTCTGCATAGGCTTATCTGATCAAAACAGTTAAGTCTCCAAAGCAAGACTTAAATTAGTGAGGCTCAGTAATTAGCAAGCAGTTTGTAAATGAAAAATAGTGGTTACCTTTGTAAAAAGTTATCAGGTTTCAGTATATTGTTCTAATGAGTATGATAACCCTTCATTCCAAATAGTGTCACTTGACTCACTGAATCTACATCTGTTCATGTAAGAAATGGTCTAAATGCATTTATTGGTTTTAATGTATTCTGCTTAGCATTGTGCTAGCTACTGGGAGGTGGTAGGGGTAGAAAATAATGTATGTTGGATCAAGGCTCCTAACAAACACTGTACACCTCCCAAATGGGCATAGTACACTACTGCCTTGCTATTTCAACTCATTCCTATATGCTGCAAATAAAAGTCAGTGTCCTATGACTTTGGTTATTGTTAGGCATAAGGAATGGAATTACCTTAACAATTTCAGTCTTTCTGCTACCTAGATTTGGAATTTCTTTTCCCAAGAATTGTTCTAAACAATAACCCCACCGATTACCTGCAAAGTACACGGTTTTCCCCCAGAATTGCACATTTCTGTGATGTGCAAATCCTGTTATGTGCAACACAAACCGTATGAACTGTAATGATTTTAAAATGAACAAAAAAATTGCCCTTATGGAGGTCTTTTCTCACTGTAGATTACTTTAGCGGGTGTTTCCTGGTTGACAGGGAATATGGCAATCTCAAAAACTTTTATTTTTATTTTTCAGGTTTGGCTTCACCAAGTGCCCTAACTCCAGTGACATCCCCTTTCTCTAGCAGGCTCAAGTCCACCACCCCAATATCAAAGCCTATGGAAGGTGGGTAATAAAAATTACTGAAACCTATGCTCATGTTTTTATATGCTTTAATCTCACAGTGACTTCTGACTTTTCTACATTGGTTAGAAATTGAAGCCAGGCCTGATATGCAATTAGAATCAGACATGAAGCTGGACAAGCTGGAATCCTTCTTGGGAAGGCTGAACAACAAAGGTTTGTAAAAATAGTTCAAGGAGACATTATGTTATTTGTCTCACTTGGGTAACTAAGCATTTCTTAGTTACAGTACCTGAAAACAAAAATGCATGTACCTATTCATTCCATCAAGACTATAATGGTCATTAGTGAACTTTACCCTGACCCGCTGTTCTTTTTATAGAATTTCAAAGAGAGACTTTAAAAAAATAAATAATTCTATGTGGACTGTTCCTTTCATCATCATAATTCCTGTATATTCTTCCTTCTAGAACAGTGTCCAGATTAATATTTAGAACAGTGGCCACACAGGCACTGGGCCCATTTGTGGGAATTGAGCCCTGGGGGTCTGATGCCACCCCTTCCTGCCCCGCTTCATGCTAGGATTGAGTGCTGGATCCAGCGTGCAGGGCTGGAGTTTTTTGGCAGCAGGAGAGCAATGCCACCATTTCCCTACCACCAAATTTCTGGACCTCTGGGAAGCCCCATGGGACAGATGACACTGCCCCACAAGTTGGATCTGGAGATTGAGCATGCCTGCATTAGAAAATCATATTGCCAGTTTGGACCTTGAAGAAAAACCTGACACTCCTTATAATTCATTTTATGGCTTGTGGGGAGGGAGGGAAGATGGTATGAAGTAAGTTACTCTCATGTCCTGCTCCTTTTGCTTTTCTCATGCGTCTGACTTCAACACTGCAAGTTCTTTGGGACTGAACCATTTCTATATTTTGTGTGATGTCAGGCATGTCAGAATTGAGTGCAAGTCCCTTCCTTTACCAGGGGCGATTAAAAACAAGCTGTCTCCTAAAAATTTACATTGAGGTTATGCTTCCCTGTGGAACCTGGAGTAGCATCTTTCTCCAAGTAACCCCTGCTCCATCCTTCAGAGTGAGAATGATAGATAGAAGTTTGTCCTCTGTTTTAGGAAACCAAAGAAACCCGCATGTATCTATCATGCCAAATCACGTCATTTTGGGATAGTTTTTCAATTTGCTCTCTCTCTTTGCACCCCTTTCAAAAAAAAAAACGAAACAAACCAAAAACAAATCCCAAAATTTTGACTGAAAACACATCAGGGTATTATGGTGTTTAAGCAAATCTTTTCTCTGCAGTTGGTGGGATGCAAGAAACAGTACTAACGGTCACAGGAAAATCTGTGAAAGAGGTGATGAAGCTGGATGATGATGAAACCTTTTCCAAATTTTACCGTCACACGGATTTCCCCACTTCCTCAGTGCCTTTGGAGCTGGATGAGGACTTTGATGCCATCTTTGATCCTTATGCACCGAAGTGAGCACCTTAATTTTCACAACTATGAATGAACAAAAAACTTCCCAGGGCCCTTTTTCCACCCTTCCCATCCTCTGACAAAGAGGAAGAAATGCCCAGCTTCCTTTCAATAAAATAAATAAAAACTTTTCACTTTGATTACGGGTACAAAATGTTCTGTAGTTTTGTAGATGACTCCTAAGAGTGCCCATGTCTGGGTTCTTCATGATCATCCTTTGTGCATGTATCAGTGACCTGACTTGTCTGTTTACTGCCGGAGGTTGAGTGTCCTCCTAATACAAAGCAAGTCTCTAGCCATCATTAGTTTCTAAGAAAATAATGAAGTTTGATCATCTGAAGATTATAAACTTTGTTTGGTTCTTAGGCTAATTTCTTCTGTAGCAGAGCACAAACGTGCAGTGAGGCCTGTGCGCAGAGTTCAGGCCTCAAGAAATCCCCTCCGAATGCTGGCAGCAAGGGAGGACATTCTTCACGAGTACACTGAACAGAGGCTAAATGTTGCCTTCATGGAGTCCAAGCGAATGAAAGTAGAGAAAAGTAAGTTGATTTGCTGGCCTTGGCACACTGTTCTCTTTAGTAGCAAAGGACTAAAAGATGGAGTTGTGCTAGCCTCTGAGAATTCAGAGCTTTTTTTTTTTTTTAATTTTAGTTAGCTGAATGTTAAGTATTAAATCACAGTTGACTGAAATGAATGAAATTATGCATTTGGCTTCTTGAAGGAAGGTTACCAACCTTCCTGCTCTGTGGCCAGCTCTTCTAGTCTAGCCAGCTGTAGGAGCACTATTGTGTTTTTCAGGTTAGGCAGAGGGTGGAGAGATGAAGATAGCAGAAGCAAATGGGCAGGTCTTGCAGTAAGGTGATAGTTGAATGGCAGTGTACTTTCATTAAGAGAGAGGAGCAAAAATAACTAATTTTCTTCCTAGTAAATTGTTCTCAATTATAAGCCATAATGATCCCTGGGGAACCTGCACAGCCTTCATAGTTTCCATCCATTAGCTCCCCTAAAGCATAACAGCTTTCTGATAGCAGTTGAAGAACAGTTCACTCGCATACTGCATTTCCAGCTAACCACACGATTAACACATGACACTGCTGTAGGATTTGCTCATAACAATTTGGACCAACATTTTTAGTGCACTGGTGAAGTTTCCCTTACTTCACTAATAAAGAGAATTCGTCTTAATTTTGTCTGTCATGATGAAAGGAAACTCAGATTAATGCTTCTGTTGAAGTACAGTATTTAAACTTGGGAAATTGCTGTTGTCTTTGGTTGGGCAATAGCCATCTGCTGCCAAGACTTTATTCTTTTTTTACAGTAAATTGTGGTGCTTAAGATTTGGAATTGTAAATGTCTGTTGCATCACAGTAGCCAAGACATGTCTGCTTTTTGTAATCATTGATCATTTATATAGCTTTGCAGATATACTTAGTGCTTTACAAAACATTGAGTGAATCTCCACTGAGGCTGGAATTTCTGCCAAATAGAATAGATTTGCTGTAAATTAATTATTGGTTTATTATCCCATGATATCCAGAAACTTGTCTAAAAACTAAAACAATCAAAATCCTTGAGCTAGCTGTTATCCAGTTCAGCCTGATGTCTCTTAATGTCAGCAGCAACAAGAAAAGGCTGGGGGGGAGGGGGAAAGCATTTAAAAGCATCTAAAACACAGAAAGCAAATAATAATATGTTCCTGTGTCTTGCTTTTCTTGTCTTTCTGTGCATGTGGATCAGTGTCCACCAACTCAAACTTCTCAGAAGTAGCACTTGCTGGCTTAGCGAGCAAGGAGAACTTCAGCAGTGTCAATCTACGGAGCGTCAACCTAACTGAACAGAACTCCAACAACAGTGCTGTGCCGTACAAGAAACTGATGCTCTTGCAGGTTAAAGGTATGCAAGAATTTTGTACTGTATTGGTACATGTGTAGTTGGGGAAAATCTACATCTTGTATCTCTTTGTACTGATAGCACTGCCCTGAAATGTTTAAAGCCAAAAGAATAGGTGAAGGTTGTGGGGTAGAAATGTACCATACCAAGTAAGTGAACTTGGTGGTGACTGTCATATATCCAACAGGTGGAAATGAGACTTCACTTAAGGATATCTGTTTTTTTGTTGTGTTGGTGCTGTTTCAATATTCCCCAGTTTACTTAGAATGACTCAGAGTATGAGAATTTAAGCAGCATTATGTTGCCATTAGATAATTTGGCAACACCATTAATGCTGTGCATCTGTGCTCAGTACTATCTACTCTTTTGTCAAGCTGAAATTCTTGAAAATCTGCTACGGATTTTTGAGCATCCAGTAAGGAAATAAAACAGTTTCAGAAATCATGCGAGTTCTGGAACATGCCTTTTTTTTCTCTAGGTCACATAAAGCTTCCAGAGCAGGAAAACTGGCAATAATAGAAATACAGGTTAAAGGAAGGAAACAAAGTGGTTTTCCTGAGTGTGAACCATATATTACTCTTTTTAATTATTCTTATAATGAAAGATTTTTGGAAATGGATTATTAGTGCTCTAGAATCAAGCTAATTTTTCATTCAAAATTAAACATCTTGAAAGGTTAGTGACAGTATTCATAGGAATATAATTACTCTGGTTTTACATTTAGGAAGAAGACATGTTCAGACAAGATTAGTTGAGCCAAGGGCTTCATCACTGAACAGTGGAGACTGCTTCCTCTTGTTAAGTCCACATTACTGTTTCCTGTGGGTAGGAGAGTTTGCAAATGTCATAGAAAAAGCAAAGGTTAGTACTCCTCATTTTCGAGGCATCACAGCCCATTTCTTCCTTTCATACAGTCAGCTCTTGATGTCAGTTATCTGAACAATCTAGTTTCATTGCACTCACAAAACAGTGTCTTATTGAACTGATACTGGCCTGTCTTTAGCTGTTCCTTTAAAATATCCACTCTTGGATTTAATGAAACGCTGACATAAGAGCATGCACGTTGCAAAATGCAGTAGAAAATTTGAAATCCTCAGGAAAGACGTGCAATAAAAAAAAAATGATTTGCAGGATGTCCTTTTCCCTGCAACATTTTCATAGTGTGAGTTCTCATTCTAATGCACACAAAAGGCCTGGTGCACTTCTGTCACTTCTCTAAAGGTTTTTGTTTTTAATGAAAATAAAGTAATGGCCGTTAGTGCTGCTACCTGCTATACTGTTTTCTTCCTCTTTCCTGTGTTTTTCCGAAAATTCATTGTGTACAAATGTCCTAAAGACCTAAGTGATCATACTCAGATAAAGTTTCTCTCCTAGGCTTCAGAACTTGCAACTTTAATTCAGACAAAGAGGGAACTTGGCTGTAGAGCTTCTTATGTACAGACTATTGAAGAAGGAATAAATACCCATACCCATGCAGCCAAAGATTTTTGGAAACTTCTCAGTGGTCAGACAAGTTATCAGTGTAAGAGGTTTTTATCTTTTGTTTTTCAATACCTGATGTTCTGTCACAGGAAAACTTACTGCATTGGTTGCTCCAAGGCAGAGAAATTTGAAATTAAAAATGTTTTCAATATTTTTCTCATTAAGCTGCTGGAAACCCTGAAGAAGATGAAATGTACGAAGCCGCAATAATTGAAACAAATTGTGTTTACCGTTTAGTAGATGATAAACTTATTCCTGAGGATGACTACTGGGGCAAAATGCCAAAATGTACCCTGCTACAACCAAAAGAGGTACAATAAGTAGTATTTAAAGTGTTTGTATTTGCAAGTTTCCTCTGGAAACTCCCTTTGATGTCCCCTAGAGGTCCAAATTTTGCCTCTTTTGTTCAATGTGTATCTGAGGCCACTGGATGAGATTTGTACAGAGATTTGGAGGGAGGTGCCATCAGTATGCTAGTAATACCCAGCTCTACCTCCTTTCTTATCTGACTCAGGCCCTGCAGTGTCATTCCTTTCCCAATGTCTAGCTGCAGTTGGGGATTGAATGCAGGCGAACCACATTGAAACTGAATCTAAACAATACAGAGGTGATGGTGGTGAGCAGACTGCTTGACTGGGTAGAAGGAATACTTATTGGAGTTTGGTGTCCCCTTACCACTCAAGTTTGCAGCCTTGAGGTGCTCCTGGATATTCAGGTGGCAGTGGCAGCTACCTTTCACCTAGTCCATCTGGTGGAAGGCTGCAGTCCTTTCTTTCAGATTCAGATCTGGCCATTACCCTACATGTCTTTGTAACCTTGAGGCTAGAGTGCTGCAGTGGGCCCTCTGTGGGTCTGCCCTTGAAGACTTGGAAGTGACACTAGTGCAGAATGTGGCAGCCTGCCTTTTGATGTGGGGGGCGGGGTCCAAAGGAGCACATAACTCCAGTGCTCTAGAGTCTGCACTGTCTCCCAATAGTTTTCATTTCAAGGTGCTGGTTTTTACCTATAAGACTCTAAACAATCTGGGTCACAAGTCCCAATGTGATCTCCAAGGTCTGCTGAGAGCAACCTCCTGCAGGTACTGTCAATGTGCCAAGTCTGCTTGGCAAAAACAGGTGGGAGGCTATTCTCAGCAGTTGCTTCTCAGCTTTGGGACTTCCTCCATATTGAGACCTGCCAAATCTCAAGTCTCGACATCTTTCCAGAAGCATTGTATGACTTTCCTATGTAGTCAGGTGTTTAGGCTGTTTAGGGGGGTTCTGATTTACATTTATACTCATTTGCCTTTTAAGTTGTTTTCTTTTGTTAGTTCTGCTGTCTTACAACCTGTTCTGTCATCTTGTTGTAAGGTGCTCTGAGCCTTTGTTGGGAAGGGTGTCACATAAAACAAAATAAGTGCTGATACTCTTTGAGTGTTCAGTAAGTTTCTAGGCATGCAGCTGCAAATATGTGTCTGCAAACTAACTGGAAATCAGTTTTTCAAAAGTGAAGAAGCTTTTGGATCCTTCTCTGCCAGGAGTGGAATGTAGATTGCCTGGTTCCAGGAAAGAAAAAATAAATAAGTATGTTTCCTCGGTGCTATGAAAGCTTTGGACCCTGTTGTCCATGGTGGATTCTTTCACTCCCACTGCGTAAATACCGAACTGGACAGTTGTAAGAAAGACATTTTTCCTCTCCTCAACAACAGTATTCCACCGTTGGCAAGCTTTTGCTGCAGCTACACCATACAGATAAGAGGGACTGAAAGTTGTTTTCCTAAATGTCACTATCACTTTTTGACCAGTAAGAGACCTCAGTTCTCCTAGTTTGATTCCACTCCTACATAAGCATGTTTCTTTATAGTATCCATTTTACTTATCAAAAATGCAGGCAATTCCTCCATGCAAAACAAACAATGCATGGCATTGTATACATTGTACTATGGCTGCTTCCATCTTGGAGTCAGCTGCTTTTTGTCATGTGACACTTGTATGGGTTTGTTTTTCAGCATTAATTACAGCAGTAGTAAGGTTATTGATGTTCTAGATGCAACTGAACATATTTTCCCTGAAACTAGATTATTGTAATTTTTCCTAGGTCCTGGTTTTTGATTTTGGTAGTGAAGTATACGTGTGGCATGGGAAAGAAGTCACTTTAGCACAAAGGAAAGTGGCATTTCAGTTGGCCAAACACTTGTGGAATGGAACCTTTGACTACTCCAACTGTGATATAAATCCTCTAGACCCCGGAGAATGCAACCCCCTTATACCCAGGTATCAAACTTACAGCTATTGGTGTTGGATGTACTTTGCTCTCCTATTCATAGTCTGTCAACATATGTTACTGGAAGTTAATGCTGTTGATTTCCTGCAGACTCAATCAGTCTGTAACTGCCAGGTCCCACTCTGTTCTGTGGGAACTACAGGCTATTATGATGAAGTGTGTAAAATACTGCCAGGACTAGAGGACTGCATAATGTCAAACGAACACTTTCGCTCTTGTTTATAGCATGTAAGTTCAGCATTTTCTCCTCTCCACTCCCCTCTTTTCCCTAAAACAGAAAAGGACAAGGACGGCCTGACTGGGCTGTCTTTGGCAGACTCACAGAACATAATGAAACCATCTTGTTCAAAGAAAAGTTTCTTGACTGGACTGAACTGAAGAAACCCAATGAGAGGAACTCTAGTGAATCTCTTCAGCAGAAGGTACAACAGATAAATGTACTGAGTATTTTCAACATTTTTGTTCGTGTATCTTGGATGGAATAGAAAACTTCAAAACGTTTTAGTGACATGCTTATTAATAAGGCTGTAAACTAGTACTCTAGACTTCCTGGTAATATTCTCAAATGTTCTGACCTTCACCTGCCATTAGGGATAGCATCACCGATGGTAAACTTATGTGTTTTATTTTTATTGGCTAACATTGAGCAGTTTGTTCAACACAGAAAAAGGAAAACAGTAATGCTACTAAAGAACATAATGCATTCACTGTGTGCTGCTGATGCTGAAATTGTTGAGTAAAAGGAGGAAAACTCCTTAACTGAAAGAAAACTGTTCTGTTTTGTCACAGGAAGAGTCTAGATCTGATTCTAAACCCTGCGATGTCACGCTAATGGTGTCTGTGCCCCAAAATACTGTCGGCACAGTGTTGGATGGAATGAACATTGGCCGTGGATATGGATTTGTTGAAGGAGAAGATGGGAGGCAGTTTGAAATTATCACTGCCTCTGTGGATGTCTGGCACATCCTAGAATTTGATTATAGTAGGCTACCAAAGCAAAGCATTGGGCAGTTCCATGAGGGAGATACATACGTTGTTAAATGGAAGTACATGGTGAGCACCGCAGGTTAGTAAGCAATTGAAATTCTTAATGCTGAGATACTGATTTCTTTTTAGACAAAACTGCTAATGTCACTAGCAAAATCCAGAACAAAATGTCCATGTATGTGATGCACTCAGCTGTGCAAGCAATCCAGGAAGTCACTTATGCTACTGGCCATTAATCCAACATTTTAACCAAAATATAAGGTAGAATTTTAAGTGTGAATGTTATTGGTTGTTTTTTTTCCTTTCATCCAAATAATATGATCTGTTCTTTCTTTGCTTTTAAACTGATTATCTGTGCATTACCTTTTTTGATTTAGCTTATCTGCATTCAGATTTTTTATCCATTCTGGTTTGCAAAATGGCTTGTACTATTATATAAATAGATTGCATCTGCCCATTTAAAGCCAAGTCAGCTAGAAAGCTGAACTAGTGACACTGCTCTAACCAGTCTTGGACAGCAACAAAAAGAGAAGATCCTAGATGGTAGCTCCAAATGGGGCCAAGAGGGAAGGAATCTTTGTACTGATTCTCTAACCACCCTCAGTGGATTTCAGTTTAGATTTGAAAATCTAAACAGGCAAAAAAGACTGAGATAGGTGAATCTATGATCTTGTGCCACAGCTTGGTGTGATCTTTCTGGCACTTTTACTCCTCTGCTCTGAAAATGGAGAAATGAACAAGAGATGGCCTCCATGATAAGTAAAAGTAGTCCATAAATGACAGCCTGGCTTTGTTTGCATTCTAAATGGGGAAATACCAAAATCGGCTGAAGAGCCACATGGCAAAAACATGGCTTCAGGATCTTTAAAAAAAGTCAGTCAGAAAATGTGCCTTGAATCTATATTGAGGTGCTGGGGAATCCAGTCAAAGTGCAACAACCTGTAAATATAGGAGCAGCTTCAGGTAAAGTAAATCATGACCTAGTTGTGTTCATGAAATTGATTCCTTTTGTGACAAACTCTCTTGAAAATGACCCACCTTGAACATAGGCATGCCAAAAAAAGGGGGGGAGGGGAGGTGGGGCTTTAAAATAGACCCTGAAAGTGTGTGTTCCTATAGTTGGGCTTGTTTTGATGTAGGAGCCAGCACTTTTTACTGTTGGTGGCTCTGACTTTCAGAAGCAACTAAGCCCCTTTGTGTGCCTAACTTACAACATCCTAGCATCCTGATTTTCAGAGGGTAATTGCTGAAACAACTTAGACTGGAGCATGCACAAATATTCTAGCAGCTTTACTTTAGTCTTTTACCTGAACATTTTGTCCTTCACTACATCATAGATTACTGAGTGTTCAGTGGAGAGAGGAAAGCATTCCACTCAGTGTCTTCTTCTAGATCGTGCCTTTTTTTCCCATACATGTCGAGTGCTAATTGTACTAGTAAATGTCTCTCAAAAAATCCTGGCTCCAGCCCTGTGCTCAAACCAATATTTAATATTTAATTGAAAAATAAAATGTTTAATGTCACCTGAAACTATTAAAGAAAGAAGGCAGATACCAACTGTTCCCTGGTCATCTGTTTGTCATTACTCAGAAGCTCCTTGTAGTCTCCTTCTCAATTATAATTTAAATGCCTGTATCTGTCCCGACTGTTGTTCTTTCCAGAAGTGCTCAGCAGCCAGCTCATCTTCTTTGCTGCCAAAAGCAGTGTAATATGGAAAATGAGGCTCGGAGCACTCTTTTTGGTAACGTGCACCATTTCACATACAGGTTCTCTCAAGTGCTGTCCATTATGTGTCTCCTGATATTATGAATTCTTTTAATATGATCTTCTTGGCTCAAAAGAATGTGGCCACTCAGTAAAGGCAACTGCATGTAGCTTTTACATCCATCACATGATGCACATGGCAGTTCTGCATGGAGGCATCTTGGGCTGGCTGGGTCAGTGTTTCTTAGATTAGTTATGTAGTCAGTGCTGCACTGGATCTGATGTTGCTGAACTGGCTCAGTAGATTTAAAGCACTTGCTGTCCTGATCTATAGCCATTGCTTTCCCTCAGTATGCACTGTTTTTTGCTTTTTCAGTTGGAACCAGGCAAAAAGGAGAGCAGCAAGTGAGGGCTATTGGGAAAGAAAAATGTGTGTACTTTTTCTGGCAAGGGAGGCACTCCACAGTGAGCGAGAAAGGGACATCAGCACTGATGACAGTGGAGCTCGATGAAGAGAGAGGAGCTCAGGTGAGCTGCCAACATAGCCCTTTTGTAGAGAATTCTGGGTGGAAGTGCTGGATAAGAGACTTCGTTGTTGTCAATTGTTGAATCAGTCCTTGTATGAGCACATGGTGGTAGGATTTCAGGAACATCTTTCCTGTTCTTTTCTGCAGAGGCTGTACCTCTGGCCAGTAGATATAGGCAGTCCCTTTTCCTTGCCCCAACCCTGACCCTTCAACTTTCATTCTGAAGATATTAAAGCAATGCAGACATGGATTGTTATTCTGGGAACTGCCTTCTTGAAATGGGATATCTATAATTAGGAAGCATGTGTCTGCTGTCTCTGCCCCACCCCCAAGAATGGATGAAAGCATGGTTATGCAAACACCTGTCCTGCCTTCAAAAACAGAACTCCATTTAAGGAATCCATGTCTTCTCACACAGCAGAGGTCCACCCACTTCAGTGAGCCCCAACAGACCTTTTTCTGCCAAGTCAAGACCTAAACTTAAATTGTTTGGCAGTAAATCTTTATCCAAGTGTGATATTTGAACTACTTGGCTTGAGTAGTTGTAGCAATTTACCTGCAGGAGCAAGGAGCTTAGAAGTTTGCCCTGTTATGGTATCAAAACTACCTCGGGTATCTTTGTGCTACAGCGCAGTTGCTTCTTGGTACAAGGAGCAGGCAGGCAAGGTGCATGATCACACCTGATAATATGTAACACTCTGCAGGTGAACTTAGTCTCTTCTGTCTATTTAATAATTAGTCCCACCAACAAAATTTTTAGGTTTAATCAGCAGCACTTATTTGGCTTAAGCTAATATTAAAGCAGGTTGAAATACCATATGTTTAGCCTTCCCACTGCTATCATAAACCCTATTGTTTTGAATGTTGTCATGCTCCTTTAAAATATGGTGGCTTAGAAGCTGTTTAATTTATTTAAACTGATTTAAAATTACTGTTTTGGTGTTCCAAAGGCAGCATTCCCAAGTCTAGCTTTTCTGTAGTTTTAGTCTTGTGCTTTCAATTTCCAGGTACAAGTTCTTCAAGGGAAAGAACCCCCGTGTTTTCTGCAGTGCTTCCAGGGCGGGATGATTGTGCATGCTGGAAGAAGGGAAGAGGAAGAAGAAAACGCACAAAGTAAATTGCTGTTAGATACAGGGTTTCTGTTTCAAGATTCCCTTTTCCAGTAAAAAGGATTTTAAAAGAAGATTCAAGTAGCACTCTGTCCATCAGAAAGGGACTCGTGAAGGCTTCATAAATCATGAGGCTTATTAAACTATTGCTTTCAGGGAAGTTCATTCCTGGCTTGAATTTAAAATGGGTTATATCATCCTGGGAGCAAATTTATTTTACTGTCAAGATATCCATTTCAATTTCAGGTTTAAGTGAATGAAATGCAATAAGCTGCTGTTCGTTCTTACACAGTGCAACAAAAATAGTTTTTTGTTTTGTTTTTTGACGTTTCAATTTTTCCCTGCCGTTTGGGGCTTCTGTTGCTAAAATAAAGCTAAGCTGTTGGGTTTTTTTACCTGCTGAGTACATATTGCAATTCATTCTATGTCTTTGCAGTCCAATGGTAGATTAGAAAGGTTCCAATGATCTTGGAACAAACCTAACCTTGACTTTTTGTACTAGGTATTGCAGTTCACAGAGTAGGAAGAAAGATGAGCTTAAAAAAAATGCGATCATATTAGCCAATTGTTAACCCTAAGCAGATGTGCACACAGTTCTGAATTTCCATGTCTTTTCCCGGCATAGCTAAAGATCATGTCACAGTGTGATGCTTACTATTTTTCATGAACCAGAATTTTCCAAACTGGATTACATGAGCTTGATCCATTGACTCACTTCATAAAAAATTTCAGGAGGCAGCACATGAACCCATCTCTTTAGGAGCAGAGATCTTGAATTGGAAGTAGCTTTTCCAGTATGTAATAACACTGTACTGTTCATGCCCATTCTAGGTGACTGGAGGCTGTACTGTGTACGAGGAGAGGTTCCCAATGAAGGAAACCTGCTTGAAGTAGCGTGTCACTGTAGTAGCCTGAGGTCCAGGACTTCCATGATTGTGCTCAATATAAATAAAGCCCTTATCTATCTATGGCATGGCTGCAAAGCACAGTCTCACACAAAGGATGTAGGAAGAACAGCAGCTAATAAAATAAAAGAACAGTAAGTAGCTAATTTATACCTTGGAGACATGTGTAGTACCTTAACTGTAATAAATAAATAAATAAAATATAAGTCTTGTATAGAATGAGAAATTGCCCTAAGTGTGTACAAGGAAAGGGATGTACCTCAGGGGTCTGTGCTTGGTCCAGTGCTTTTCAGCATCTTTATTAATGATTTGGATGTGGGGGTGAAAAGCTCACTGGCCAAGTTTGTGGACAACACCAAGTTATAGGGCAGAATGGTCACTCTTGAAAATAGGCTGCAGATGCAGGTGGACCTAGACAGGCTGGCAAGTTGGGCGGATCGGAACCAGATGAAGTTCAACATTGACAAGTTGTAACGTGCTCCATCTAGGGATGAACAATCCCCAACATACATATAGGCTCAGTGGCGCCAAACTGACTAGCATCACGACTGAAAAGGACCTAGGCATAATAATAGACCATAGTATGAACATGAGCTGTCAATGCAATGCTGTAGCCAGCAGGGCAAACAATACTTTGGCATGTATCAACTGATGCATCTCAAGCAAAGCCAGGGAAGTGACTCTTTCACTTTACTCAGCATTGGTGAGACCGTAGCTGGAGTACTGTGTCCAGTTCTGGGTGCCACACTTCAACAAGGATGTGGAAAAGCTTGAGAGAGTCCAGAGAAGAGCTACCCATATGAGGAAAGGCTGAGGGACTTGGGTTTCTTCAGCCTAAAAAAGAGAAGGCTGAGAGGGGACTTGGTAGCAGCTCACCGCTAGATCAGGGAAGTACATCAAGGGCTCGGTGAACAACTGTTCACCAGGGCACCCTTGGAGAAAACCAAGAGTAATGTCCACAAACTCCTAGAAGATTGTTTCAGCCTTAACACTAGGAAAAACTTCTTCACAGTTAGGTTGTCCGGACTGTGAAATTAAACTCCCTCCAGAGGTGGTGCAATTGCCTAAAGCAGACTAGACAGTCACCTCACTGCGGTCACCTGACCCCAGTTCTCTTTCCTGCCTAGTGCAAGGGTCTAAACCTGATGATCTTGCGAGGTCCCTTCCAGCCCCTTACAATCTATGAATCTAATCTATGAAAGTGATGATAGAATGGAGAAAATGAAATTGTCGAGCAGTGTTTCTCAACCCATGGGTTGTGACCCAAAAGTGGGTCACTAAAATATATGGAAAGGGTCTCAAACAATCATGGAAAAGTATGGGAAATCATGGATTTTCTCCTTTAAAGGAGAAAAATGTGGGAAACTGTGGGTTCCCCTTGCAAGAAGGCAGTTTCAGCCTGCAAGGGACTGCTTGGGGCTGGGGGAAGTTGGACGAGGGCATAGGTGACTGGTGCCACCTTAATCAGAGGGAGCACATGTCCTCCCTGTGTCTAGTCCCACCGACCAGGGAGGGGGGTCCCCCCACAGCCGATCCTACCAACCAGGGGGAGTCCCCCCGTGTCCTATCTTTCTGGGAGCAGCTGCAGTGATCGGCCACTGCTTGCAGTGGGGCACCCGTTGCCTAATCAGCAAGCATGGCCGGTTGGTGCACCAGCACTCTCAGGGGGTATATGTGCACCGTTGCCACTGGAGGAGGACATTCAGACACGGGGCACCACATGCACGTGCACGCACACACATGCATGTGGTAGCCAGGAAGCATAGAAAGCAGCTCCCACAGCTCCCTCCAAGTAAGTCTGTAGGGTGGAGTGGGGTGGGGAGCAGGGGAGGAGACAAACAACTCATCAGGGCGGCACAAGTGATGCATTGGGGGGGCATGTGCACCCCCAGATTTGTGCACCCACAGTAGGCATGGGGCTGCAGTCTGGCTGGACCATCACAGGCAGGAAGTGTTTCCATGGCTCAGAGGGCAGGACACGGTTCAGGAGGGCAGAGTGGGGCAGCAAGACTGCATAAGTAGTGGTGAATAGGAGTGGTGGGGGAGGGGTGTGGGAAACATGCTACCCTCACCTCCTGCTGCCACCATGCCCCTTAGGCTGTAGCTCTACCCTGGAGGGGAGGTGGAGTGGCAGGTAGCATGGGAGCCTGAGGGGAGCAGTGGCGGTCAGGCCATGGCAGTCGGGTAGAGTCACGGCCCGGTGTGCAAGTGGCTGGCAGCAGGAGGAGGTGAGGGCAGCATGGGCTCTCCCCTCTCCAGTCCATTACTCCTAATGCTGCTGCTGGTGTGGCTGGCACCGGGGTCCCAATGGCAGTGGCAGCAGCAGCCATGACTCTTGAGACCCCATTTTGGATCCCGTCTGCTGGGCCACTAGGCTGCAACCCCATGCCCAGTGTGCAGCAGGAGGGCGGGGTGCCAACAATCCCACCCCTTCCCCACACACTGTGGGGCTTGGGGTGAGGGGGCAGTGAGTCAGGAGTGATAGGCACCAACAGGGCTTAGAGGGGGGGGTGCTGTGAGTTGGGCCTGAGGAGCACCAGGAGTGCCAGGGTGCTGCAAGTTGCAAGCAAAGGGCCAGGGGGCTGCGAGTCAGGAGTGAGGGGCACTAGTAATTTGCATTGTGAAAATTGCACAATGATGAATGTCACTTGGGAATAATAGAGGGCCAAATGTTGATATTACTGTTAATATTTTCCTGTTGATGCTGATTTGTTCAGTCTTTAAAATTAAGACTGTTGAACTGCTTTAACTTGTAGTATTTAATAAGTATTTTGGGGACAAAATACTTGTGTGTTTTCTACATAAACTATTTACTGGGTCAGGACTGGCCATCAGTGTTTACAAATGGGTACTGGTACCAAAAAAGGTTGAGACCCACTGGTGTAGAGAGCCCATGTGAGAGAGATTCTTGTGACCTCTGGATCTACACAACCAGTGCTAGAATGGAAATTACTGAAATTTCTTCATTATTCCCTTGTTTCTTCATTATTGCTTGTATTCATTTTGAGATGAATTATACTGGCAAGAAGAAGGATGTCAACACACGTTGTCAGTTTTGAGGTAATTTGGGCTATTGCCGCTGACTTTGCATGCAAATATTTGCTTTAGCAGTAAATGATTCATGTTATTACTTTGTTGTAGATGTCCCCTGGAAGCAGGATTGCACAGCAGTAGCAAAGTGACCATACATGAATGTGATGAGGGCTCGGAGCCATTGGGATTCTGGGATGCGTTAGGAAGAAGAGATCGAAAAGCTTATGATTGCATGCTGCAAGGTAGAGCTGCATTCCGATGCTCTTCACCTTAATCTTAAAATGTTATGGGACTACTGAGTCACATAAACAACACCTGCCTTAAGAATCTCACTGCTCATGTAAACCAACTGTAGATGGACCAGTGGGTTTTTTTGTTCCTTCTCCCTCCCTATCCTGCATCGACTCCCTAACGTATATTATTACTTACCTTATTATTATTTACATGCACATGAGTACACCCCCCTCCAAGCAACAGTTGACACTACTTTACAACCATGTAGGGACCAGATTGGTTTGTTAGCGTTCTTATTTAAACTCTGCCAAAACAGCCAGTGAGGGGAGCAATGGGATAGATTGTAATATTTAAAATCTGTTTCTAAGGTAGATGGAAGAGTTCACTTCACATAAGTTGCAGAATCCCTGCTCACAAATGAGCCAAGATCAATTCAAACTCATGGTCTAAAACTAAGAGTGGTGGCTGCTGCCCTGACACACCCAGTCTCCATTCCTGACTTTTGGAAAGCCATTGAGAGGCATTAACTGTAAAAATTGTTTTTATAGAAAACTGTAATAATGAGGCAGTAACCATAAAAGTTGTTTCATAAACTAGAAATATTTGTTTGTTTGTTTGTTTGTTTGTTTGTTTTTAAAGATCCTGGGAAATTTAACTTCACCCCCCGTCTATTCAGCCTTAGTAGCTCATCAGGAGAATTCTCAGCCACAGAATACATATATCCTGCCAGAGATCCCACTGTTGTCAATTCTATGCCATTCCTGCAGGAAGACCTCTATACTGCCCCACAGCCAGGTACGGTCACTGAATATTACTGTAAATACTTCTGTGATCCTAAATGTGAAATCCCAGAGTAAGCGTACTTGGGGTTCGTTAATGTGCAGTCAAATCTGTAACCTGCCAAAATGCATGTATCCTTAAAATATTGCTATTCCAACTTGTAAGTAGAAAAGCCTCCTGACAAGGAGTTGCTTACCAAAGTGACACTTAGAATATTTATGAGTAGGTAGGAGGGGGTGCTGTTTTGCACCAGTATGAGATAAACATGGCTCTGTGTTGATTTAATTTGCAGCAGGAGAGGTTGCGTATGGAAAACCAGAAGAGGCCCAGCATTAAAAAACAAAAGCAAAACTATTTTAGTGACTTGGAATTCAACTCCTTGCTGCTTTGCAGAAATCTTTGTGGTTGAATAACAAATGGCATTGTGAGCTTTAAAGCAAGTTTCATCCTGCCAACCAAAGCCATGGGTGGTTGAGGTTTATCTGAATCTGAGTTGTAAATACTTTCTGAAGAAACAAGATTAATGCTAAGAATGAATGTCTGGTATCTTTTGTTCTTGTTTGGCTATATAGCACTTTTCCTTGTTGACAATCATCACGAAGTGTATCTCTGGCAAGGTTGGTGGCCTGTTGAAAACAAAATTGCTGGATCAGCTCGAATCCGATGGGCTTCAGACCGGAAATGTGCCATGGAAACAGTACTTCAATACTGCAAAGGTAATAAAGATCCATTTGGACTGGTGCCAGCCCCATTTATCTTGAAGTTTCCTGTGGCACTTTTCAATACAGTATATAAGGCCCAGATCTACAATCTTGTTTAGGCACATAAGTATTTCCCTGGTGAAATAAATTGGCCTGATGAGCTTCAGTGTGTTTGCAAGTTCTCCCCCACAATCATTCCATTGTGACATCTGAGAGGATAAATAGGTTTCATCTGAGGAAAATAAAGTTTACAATGTATCTATCACTGGCATCAGAGTTGGTGGCATTGGTCAGGTTCTCCAGTGGAAAAGGAGGAAGGAGATGGATGTGGAGGAAACAGTACCCCCATGGGACTCCATAGATGTGAGCTGTAGCAACCTGGCCCCTAGGGATGGCCACGACACTACCTGGTGTTTACATGACTCCTGCCCCACTTCAGGTCCTTGGAGCCATTTTTACCTTTCCTGCCATGCCTCGATGTTTCCTTGCCTGCCATGCCTCAATGCCTCCCCACAGGCTCTGGCCCTCCCCACTCTAACCTGTCCCATCTCTCACTCAGGCTCTCACCACTTTGCAGGGTTTGAAACCCCAATTGCCCCAGGCACCCTGGTACATAGCCTCCAATCCTTCCCTACAACTACAATCTGGTCCTCTGGTATCAAACTTAAAATGCAACACAAACACAAGCAACTGCTTCCAAACTAAGTAAGTCTCCCCCACTAACTCTGCATCGCCCCATAAGCCATACTTCCCTTTGAGCTCTCTCCTTCCAGCTGTCTTGGATGGGTTGGATGCAGTCTGTCAGTTGTAGCCCCTGTCTCCCATGAGCTCCTCTCCCTGAGCTTGCAAGACCAGACTGCCTGCCTTGCTTCAGGCACTGGACTTATGTGCCCTGAAGGCACTGTCCCTTCTGGTCAAGTGACTCCCTAGTCATACACAGGGGTTTCATCTTTTGCCTAATGACCAGCCTGCTCTTCCCTGCTGCAGCTTAACAGCTGGTTGCAGCCTTTACTCTGAAGCAGCCTGGAAATCTGCCCCACACAGCAAGCTTATTACAGTGCAGCCAGATTTTGCTCAGCTGCCTGCCTACACAGTAAGGTTGGACTGCTGCACTTACCCAGTTCGTCATGTAATGGAACCAAGGGCTTCTGTTACTTTAGGGGAAAAGAAAGTATTAATTACTTATCACCACTCTAGGGGTCCAGTAAGAGAGGAATGGTTACTGTCATAATGATGCTGTCCAATCCACTTCTCCTTTTTTCACTTGGTAGGAAACTTCTTGTACACTTCATTTCCCCATCATTAATGTGGCAGAGCCACAAAACTGCTCTATTGTTAACGCTTGCCAGGTCCTCATCCTGGATGCGTGGGTGTGCTGCATGCATGAGGAGGTAGCCAGCAGGCTGTGGTACATCACCACACTCACATATTGAACTGTCCTTTAAGCCAATCTTATAGTGTGGCATTAAAGTGTCCAGCTCCAGAGTGAGTCCTGTTTAGTTTAGTCCATTAGTTATGGCGGAGCTCGTACCCAGGTGGATAGGGTGTTGGGTTGCTTATGAAGCAACCTACCTAGTAGGAAACTGAAATCCGTGGAAATTTCTAAGATGGAAGCATTGAGATGTGACCTTTATCTATCTATGTGACCTTTGCTATGCAAAGGTTGCAATGCTGCTGGTTTTTTAATTCTGATGATGCAGCATCTGGGAATTCTTGTGATGTAGCTTCTCAGTATCTATGATTAAGAATGTGGAGTTAAAGATGGTTTGGTAGCAGGAAGGGCCCAGTCTATCAAATGCTAGCTTTTGAGGACTGGGCAAGCTGCTGCATTTCTCAGGAACTTGGGTTTGAGGAGGAGATGGTGATGATGAAACCACCTTCCTCTTTGCTCACTAACTCCTTCACAAAGGATATGAATATTATCTCCATCTAACAGATTGGGTGACTGAGGCACAGCCTTGAAGCGATACGTTCAACGTCACCCAGTTAACCATTGGGAGTTGGGTGTCCTGAGACTTTAGTGCTTGCTGTCTTCTACCCCATGCTGCCTTCACTTATCTAGGATTTTCTTCCTTGGCTTTTACCAGCAAAGAGACTCTGCTTTGCAAGTTGTGGCTTGAAAGTTTCCAGAAAATTTTTAACTCCAGCAGATGTGATGATGCCAGGGAGATAGATAAATGTTGTCTGTGCTGTTTTGAATTTTTTGTCCCTTAGCTTCTCCAATATTTAGATGTACAGTAGGATGAGAGCTTGTCAGGTGCCTGCTTGGTCCTGTGGTTCAGATTATGCATCTCAAAAGGATCTCACTGAATCCAATTGTTCTGCTGGCCATGATTTTGCAGCAGAAAGTTCTTTGTTCCTTTTACTGGAGTAATATGCTTTCAAGGAGGCCTTCATGTGTATATGGATGAATGGATTTGGAGCAAGTTTCTACCATCAAAAAGCTAATATTCAAAGCGTGCATACTGCATGCCAAAGTTCATCCGAGTACCACAGTCAATCCAATGGAAGGGAGTATTATTTGATTATGGTGTCTGAGCAGCTGTTTTCATTGTGGTTTGGTGGTTCCCCTGTCAGATGCATGGGAGACTCTACAGAGTTTATGCTTTTGTGAGCTAACAGGCTCTGGTATCTTGTTAATTTAATGAGACAGAACAGTTAAATATCACGAAATACTAAATATGCCGTTATCCTAAATATGTAAAACAAAGCAACAAGGATTCAGTTCCATAATTCAGAATATTGCAGTATTTTCTTATGACTCCTTTTTGGCTTACAGTAAGTGTACAAATTTACTGTATAGTATGAAGAAAGTTGGTTTGTAGCTTTGAGTAATAACTTCAGTATCCCTCCCAGTACTTCCTTGTGCATAAATCTTATTTAACCCGTCAGATGTTCTTGAAAGCATTTGAAGCTTTATCTGCTAAATCAGCAGACTGTTTTAGAGTGCTGAGTTCCAGACAGCTAGCATGGGTGAGGATTTTCTGTTCCTTGTATGGAAGGAGCAAGCTTGTTTGTGTGGGGGGGCAAAATTAATGTTGAACTTTAATTAAAATAGCAAAAATGTTTTCTCAACTCAAATATGCCAGATGGCTAAGCCTGTAAAGTATTTGATGAAAGCGCCTCATATATGCATATATATATATAAAATCACTTTGGCATTTAACTGAATTAAGAAGGGAGTAGTCTGTTTAGTCTAGGTTGACAAATTTTGCAAAATGCCCGTCTTTTTTTCACTTGGCAAATTCAGATTCCACAGCGAACGTGTTTGGAATGGTGGAGGCTTAAAAATAAAAACGTTCAGATGAGAAATCTCCTGTCAAAGTTGTATAATTTAAAGGTTCATGTGCTAATTTGTTCACTGGAATACCCGATTAAAGCTCCTTAGAGAAGTCTGAGTTTCATGCTACTGAACAATTTCTCACTTTTTTGCAACGAAATGTTTGACCTCAAGCAAAACACTGTTCTTACATTTTGCAAACTTACTGAAAAAATGATAGCCAACTCCAGCATAAGAACATAGTAATTGTCATTTACTGGGCCAGGCCATAGGTATCTTGTATCAGAGTGACAGAGTAAGTGCTAAAAGGGAGAATGAACTGGGTATGACCAATGTTGGAACCCCTTGGATTTCATCAATCCCTTTCTTTGTGTTTTAAAGTGTAGGTATGGGGTGGGATAGCTGGCTAATACCTCGTCTGCCACAAGTGAGCTCTCAAAAGGTTCTCTTATCACTAGGAAGCTGCTGGATGAGATAGCAAAGTGGATGTGGGTTGATGACCTACGGGTCTGCTGTGGTGTCTTCTGCTTTCTCTGCACCTGTTTGAGAGGGTTTAGGGTGAGAGGGAGCTAATGGAACAGTGCTGCTCAATTTAGGAACACTCAAGAGAGCTGACCATCTAAGAATGCTCTTGTGTCCCTGATGGCTGTGAATTCAGCTGATCAGGAATTTTTTTTCCCCGTCTATACATGGTATAATGACTTGCAGCTGTGTCCCTCCCTTCCAGAAGTGAATGCTACCAAGTTCTCCCTGGTGTTTGGTGGTAGCATTAGTAGTATTCAGCAGCCACAACACATAGAAATTGTAGTGGTCCAGTTGGCCAAAGAGGAAAATGTCATGAGTGGTCCATAAATTATTTTGACTTCCCATTAGGTTCCAGGTGTTCATATACTCTCTATCTTAATGGCTGTGTCCAGACACGCATGGATGTTTGGTTCCTCAGGGACAACCAGTGGTGGTGCATGGCAGGTTACCCTGGGTGGGGTAGGGGAGGCAGGGGCCAGCACTGGGCTAGCCCCAGCAACCTTCCTGAGGTTCTGGGGGCCTCCTGGGGATGCAGCCACGTCACTCCTGCCATGCGGAGCCTGGTTGGCAGCGGAGTACAGATATCCAGGAGCCAAAAACCCTCCTTACTGCTCCCTTGCAGCATGGAGACCAATGGAACATGCAGTATGTCGTGCTGCAGACATGTCTGCTGTGCCACATACCGCACAGCCATGCTTATCTGGACATGGCCTTTGTGGCTGAACTTCTAACTGCCTGTATCCTGTCTTGTTCTCCCGTGTTAAGAACAACTGACATGTTCTCAGGAGGTCCTCAATCCTTAAGCTCCTGGCCAGTCTTTTTTTCAATAGTCCTTTTCAGTTTTGTTCTGGAATTCACTTCCTGCATTGATCTTGCTAATCTTGAGTTTCTTTTCACTTACCTCCTTATAGGGCACATCTACACAAGTAATTACTGCTCCAACCCGGCTCAATGTGCTGTGCATGAATAAACTCCAGAGCATATTGCTCCGGAGTTTATTGCTTGGGGGTGCACCATTTGAACATGTCCAGGAGCAATAAACTCTAGAGCAATAAGCTCTGGAGTTTATTCATGCGCAGCACATTGAGTCGGGTTGGAGCAGCCCCAACTGGTAAGGGACCCGGGGAGTCAGCCTGCCAGCCCAGGGCTGCTACCTCCAGCTCAAAGTAACTGCGGAGGGGCTGGCTAGGTCGCAACGGTGCTTTAGCGCAGGACTAGTTGGCAGGCAGCCCCCACACTGAATCACCCTCGTGTCCTAACCAGCCAGGGCACCATCTACACGTGCGCTGCTGCAGAGGTTTTACTCTGTAGCAGGATAGTACTTGTATTTACAAATACTACCCAGTGCCAAGTAAATTAGTTTACTCCAGCCTAATAGAGGTGCACATGTAGACACCGAAATGTTTACTGCACAGTAAACGTCTTCTGAAGACACTCCCATAAGGTGATGGCTTAGGTATAGGATAGGGTAGACTCATGTTTGGAGGTTTGTTACTTTTGGTTTTTTGCATGTATCCATGTCCCCAGAAAGACTCAATTTTAGATATTGAAATATTAGACATTTTAAAATTGCCTTAATTTACAAAAGAAACTGTGATTAATTAAATCTTATATCACAAGCTTACTTGTGACTTTAGAAAGAGGGCTTGGCTAAACTTTTTTTTAGTCAGCATAGAATGTAAAGCTGCAAGACGATTCATATCCTAATCTGTGTTTGTATATATTGAATGTTACAGGGAAAAATGTTAAGAAGCCTCCCAAATCCTACCTAATTCATGCTGGTCTGGAACCCTTGACATTCACCAATATGTTCCCAAGTTGGGAACACAGAGAAGACATTGCAGAGATCACGGAAATGGTAAGCAAGTCTTTCATTGCAATTGTCAGGGTCACGCATTCCTACAGTGGTGGTACTGTATTTTGATGTCAGTAACACCCAGTGTATGTTGTGCTGTGAAGTTCCAAACTTCAACAGATTAAAGTGAATAGCACAGTTCAGGGATCTGGAAAAAGGAGCATCACTGACAGTTGGATTTTGATATGACCATTGTTTATTTTTGCATGTAAGGAGTTTCAGTTTCTCTAAAAGGAAGCAATACTTGTGTGTTGCTTTTTTGAAGAATAACAAATTAGGTTTGGGGTTTTTTAAACTCAAATCCTAACTTAAAAACAAAATTGGGCTGCTGTATATATGAGCTAGGCAGATCTTTTATCAAGACCCATAGTTGTCTCCCCAAAAACCACACTTCACCTTTCTACCAAAAGACTTGGATTAATGTCTGCTCTCATTTTAAAAAGTACCCTTGCTTTAATTGGAACATTTCTAATTGGGACACTTCAGGGAGGCTGTGAAACTTGAGAGAAGTAGGCAGCCTCATAGATGATTTACATCATTATCTCTACACTACTGTCATCGCAAGGTTACAATGGTATAGAGCACAAGGTGGTCCAGGCAGATCCCTGTATCTGCTTCCCATCTGGGAAATGGAGTTAATACCTTGATTCTGTGTGACTGCTTTATAAGCCTCTCAGGCAAAGAGTGAAATAAGCTGATAGTTTAAATTGCTAGTGTGAGTCTTCTGTAGTCTTCTGACTAATCTGGTATAGTCTTCAGAAGCAGAAGTTAATGTTTGAAATGGACATTTTTAAGAGTATAAGGAGCCCTTCTTTTTCAAAAAACAAATATTTTATAATAACCAAATGTTTCTGGAAAAGAAATTTAGTCCCCAGTGTGCTTAGTCTGTTTTTTTCCCAAATCCAGGGGCAAGGTAACCATCCCCAGGCCAGTATGGTTTTGATACCATTTGTTGAGTTGACTTTATGTGAAATCAGTAGGGAATGGTTTCAGTAAGATGCTTCTGACTCTTCTTATTTGTTTCCCCTTCAGGATGCTGAAGTTTCTAATCAGATAATCCTTGTAGAAGATGTGTTAGCCAAGCTGTGTAAAACTGTGTATCCCCTAGCAGATCTTCTAGCAAGGCCTCTGCCTGAGGGAGCTGACCCACTGAAGCTTGAAATTTACCTTTCGGATGAAGATTTTGAGGTTAGTGGGGGGGAAACAACTGTGTGTTGGGAGGGGAGTGTTTTTAAGTTTCCACGCATGCGTATCACATCACTCCTGCATTCTTGTGATTATGCTTGAATGCCTGTCCTAACACTGGCATGTCTCTGTTCTGTTTTGTTTTAAACTTTAGGTCGCGTTAGAAATGACAAGAGAGGAGTACAATGCATTGCCCTCATGGAAGCAGGTGAACCTTAAGAAGTCAAAAGGACTTTTCTGAATTGTGTTGTCATTTAAAAATAGTGCTGGAGGGATCTCTGTTGTCACATTCAATACCTTTGGACCAGCAAAACAAACTCCTCTGGTTTAGTATTCAAGAATCTATATAGCTATGATCTGAAGTACTCTAGATCCTACCCAAGCTGTATGTAAATGTGTGAGAACATTATCGTTTCACCTCCAAGGGTAATGCGTTTAAATTCTGCTCTCCTATGCACTTAAACAGTAGTTTCTCAAGCAACTGCTGCACCTGTCCGTTGGCTATATATACAGACTTGCCATTTTGTTTTTGAAGAGGTTCTCTTTGTAAAGTGGTATTTTGTTAGTTTGTGGATTAAAAAGAATTTATATTTATATAAACACATAAAACATGTATTTAACAATGCAATATGTATTCACTTTCAAGACTTCCATGTCAAAAAAACCCAAGTAGCTGGGTGGCAGTTGCTTTTCTGAATTAGCTCTGCCACCAACCTGTATCTCTTATGCATTCTGAAAAGTTTCTCTTTGCAATAGATAATGAATTGTTCTCAGTGCTGCTTCAGGTGCTAAATTGAACAAAGCATTTGTATTTATGGCATGGGTTTCTTGAGAAACTATGCGACTCGAACTTTATACTTTAATATCCAAAAATGTATAGTGCCTTGTTTTTTGTGTACAGTTTATATACAAAAAGATTGGTCTGCATTTTGAAGATGTCTTAGAATGGTCTCCTATGTTACTTTTATAACGATAGAATAAAAACATCTCAGTTTCTAATACTTGTTGTAAACAGTAAACACGTCTTTTGTGATATAAGAACTTAGTGAAAGCTTCCAAATAAACTCTTAGCAATGCTCTGACTAGTCATTATTTACACCTATACGCACTAGTAATTTAATTAAAAATGCTCCATAATACTCATAATATAGTATTTACATCTGAAATATTTGAAACATTGACAAGAATCGATATGGTATAATGAGACAAATGCAGACAATGCAGTAAAACTTAAATTTATTATGCAAAAGCTAATGCTACCTCTTGAAAAAACTGTACAAGTGTTTTGTTTTCAATTGCCCCTTTTTATACTTGATGTAACATGTTTAGCCAATTTTAAACTTACCAAGAATGTGTGATTGTAAGTAAAGCTCTTGAAAAGTAATCAACATGGTATTGCATTTGTGTTTCCATTCTCTCAAAAAATAGTGAAAATGAAAATATGGCCATTTATTACTTTGGCAATTGGGGAATTGTCTGTTTTAAACAGCTTAAGAGTATCATTGCTTGAAGTTTTGTCGTTTTCAGGTATTGGCTATTTCTGAACTTGATTTTGTGAAAGGATTGTTACTTTTGCAATATCATAATGACTCTGAAGTGCCCAGTCCTGCAAGTACAAGAAACTTGTCTAGATTTCTACAGCTGCTTACCTGTTTGCAAAGGTAAAATGCCTTTGTTAGCCATTATTACCAAGTGACTTTAGACTTCTGAGGGTTGCTGTTCTTGATGAAGACCACTGGGAAGTAAAGTAGAATTTTAAGTGTAGGACAATATATTTAGCTTCTTGCATGTAATGCACACCTTTTGCTCAAAAATCACCCCCACACTGAAACTGGAGTACATGTATTAAGCAGGGAAGCTGATTTGCTGACCAGGAGAGAAGCCACCCTGCTTTGATTTTTTTGTTTGTTTGTCACTGGGCATCAACTGCTGCATTACTGTTCAGGCAGCTGAAGGAGTTAGTTGACTTAATGGCTCATTATTCTCCTCTCCAGAGGTGTTTAACTGTCATCTCTCCTTTTTAATTGTCTTCTTTAACATTCAGCTAATCAAGCCAATCATTCTTAGAGTGTTTTTGCTGTCTGCTAGCTCCTTCTGATCTCTGTCCTCCTGATTCATAGCTTTAGAGACTCCTTTAGCTCTTTTTTTCAAAATCATATCCACTTGTGGAGACCAGTCTTCAGCAACAACTAGAGTTAAATATTTAGTTAAGCAGTAAAGGTAGAGTGATTCAGCTGAAGAGTGGGCTCTGTTCCTTCTCTCTGCAGCCATAACTCTGGAAAAATCTTTTTTTCTTCATCCTGCATTTCAAAAACAAAGTGTATATTATATTCTGGGTCATGTTTTATGGGAAAAAATACAGTGCTTCAAATTCTGGTCTAAGAGAAACTTAGAATTAATGTTTTGTGACCCTTACTCATGGATTCACTTTGAGCCTAGGCTGTAGAGGTAGTAAGTGGCTGTACTTAAATTTGGTCTCTACAACATAACACAAATTCTCATAGTACAGTTGACTTTGTTTTCACCATCGGTGGGAAAATCATTGTTATTTAAAACACAATTGATGCTGTTCCTGACACGTGCAAACCTGCTCCTAGGACTTTAAAACTGCTTGCCCAATTTGCATTTTTTGGATTATAAAGATCAGTGGAAGACAACGCAAAATTCACTGTTACCAGCCCATGGGCTTTTCTATGATTCTCTCTCGATTTACTGTTATCTTATAGCGTCAGATTCCTTGAGTCACATATTATGAAAATATCAACTTTGACATGAAAAATTAGGTTCTTGCACTTGCAGTTGCATAGAGACACTAGAAAATGAAACTTGGTAGTTTTCTAAAATCAGAAGACAAATAAAGAGCCTGAAATGTGTTTGTTTAAATTCTTAGTGTTTTGAGCAAAACCCATGTCTGTGGTAGACAATACTGAGCAAGTATTCATAACAGTTTGCAACAGAATTGGGGCACACTTCAGTATCCCCTAAAATTCACTGCCTGTTGCCCCCTTCTCTTGAAGGGGAAAGACTTGCAAAAAATAAAGGAGGGGGGAGAGGGAGACTTTCTTTAAACCTTTCAGACATGCTTGTTCCCTGCATGGGAAGTAAAGCTCAAACTGGTTTTCTTAAAACAGACTCCTAAGAACATACCTAGATCTTTGAAGGTGGAGGGCACTCAATATAGAAAAACCCAGAGCCTGACACTGGACTTGAGGCAGGAGTGTGGTTGGAAATGATCACAATCACTATAACGTAACTTCAGCCATTGTGATGATTAAGTTCCTAATGGACTAGCATTTTGGTAGTTTCACAAACTGTCAACTTCCCTCTTTCAAACATATGATCCACAGTTAGGACTTTTATCTCAGGATTTTTGAAGAGCACACTGTGTAGATCAGTGTAGAGCTCTTCCTTCTAGATTATATGTGCAAGTATGTTTATGCAAGGATTTGTTAGCAGTGAAGCAGGCTGGAAACTTGAGCACATTAATATGCCAAAACAACAAATAAAACCTCACACTTGAATAACCTGCAGCTGGTATGTTTCGGTTACAAGAAGAGGATAATGAAGCATAGGAAGGAAAAGAAACATGTAATCTAATCTTTGACTACTGTTTTCTTCCAATTGGTTTCAATAATTGGTACTTAGCTGAGCAGCGGTTGTGGCGATGTATGTATTGAAGGGAAATGCAGCTTCCAAATGTCTCGGAAAGACTGCACAAATCTCAGCGTTCAGTGGAAGATGTCTGTGGCATATGAAGAAACAGTTGGAACTTTTCTTTATTCATGTCAGATGATAGGGATACTGAGGGGAACCCATCATATGATGATCAATAGCAATAAATAGGACACTTAACAGGGTTGGCCAGAATGTGAAAGGAACCACCTATGGGGCTTGCTTCCAACACCATAAAAATAGTTCATGGATTTCCTAGTCTCTGAGTTCAGGGCCTCATAAGCTGTCTGTTGGTGGGCATTTCAAACACATGGGGAGAAATTCTACTGCAAAGGTCTTCATCGGTGCTAACAGTTACTTAATTTCGCTCTGCATGAGCCGCTACCATGATAATGCTGTGGGCTCTTTACTTTACAGTATCAGCCTGAACGAGGGGTGCGAGGAGAGCCATTGGCTATCCTCTTCACTACTTTCATTCTCAGTACTGAAGCTGTAGGTTAACGTGGTGATGAAACCTGCTCCAAGTGCAGGCGGAGAGGTCAGTGTCCTGTTCTTCCTTACTCAGAATCCGTCTTCTGGAGGGAGATGTGCACTGGATCATACCTGCCTTGGCCAGGGAGAAAAGTGTTAAACTTTACAGCTTATTTAAAGTTAAAAGTTGGAATTAGATTCCAGGAGGGAGGTTTTAGGGGACGTGGCGCTTTGATTAAAGCATAGCCTTTGTCTCCTGTCCCTCTTCTCCCTCCCTCTATTTATATTTGTAGCCTCTGATTTGCCTCTTATAGTCAGAGAGTAGCTAATTTCTGCATAGACTTTCAGAGGTGGCTATTTTGTCAGTGGAGTAAGACTAGCACACAGAATAAAACACCAGTTCTGAACAGTGAGGCTGTTAATGGCCCAGGAAGTTTGTAAAGATCCAGTGCCCAAAGAGTGAAGTCAGAAGAGCTGATGTTTCCAGAATCCCGAGTTAAGCACGTCCTGTTGGGTTTGTGTGAGGACTGGGGAGTCGCGTACTGACCTGCAGAGCCACTCTCCTACCCTGGGGCAGACCTAGGAAGGGTCTGCACTAACATGCTAAACCAAAGCCAAAAGGAAGAGGTGAAAGTCCCCTAATTTATGTAGCACCCCTAACTGACAGTATGGATATACCCCACACTTACAACCATGTAAGTTCTGGCTAATTTCACCCACCAGTAACCTTTTGCTCAATAAGAGGAGACTATTATTGAACCTCCCAATACCTAGTGATGAGATGCTTTAATAACACTGGTGGGAGCATCCACCTTTAACAGAATTAGCCATGTGTCCACCCTAGAGGCGGGTATAACTTTGGTATGCAAAACTGAGGCAAGTTATATCAGAGTAAATGTGTTCTGTCTGCAACCTGAACTCAGTTAAACCTCACTCCAAGTGTCGCGTTGTATACAAATGTTAGTTGAATGCTGCAGCCCCTGGATGATGATGTGCACTCAGACAAGGCTTGCCCTACACAGGATGCCAAAGGACTGTCCTGTGCTCACACTGAGCGTGTCCTTTCCCATGTTAGGCTTTAAGCGTATGTGCCTCATGGCTTCTCAAGTAGCACTGCCATGGGACCAGATGCTTTTATTATTCTGGGTCCTGACCTTGCCTCAGCCTGACATGTGAATGAGGCTAAAGTGCCAACCCTCTCTGAGAAGGAGGCGCTGACCCAATGTATCTAAGTGGCAACGAGGTTGGTCTCAGAAAGGAAAGTATCAAGTAGCAGATTTTCTGTTCTGCATTCAGTCATGCAGAGCCAAGGCAGGTGTGGGTAAACTGTCAGTGCTGCACCCTTGTGTTTAATACATTCAGCAGATCAAGAACATCAGCCCTGCTATTGTACAGGGGCAGTGGGGCTGGTGCCACCGCACCTTCCTGAAAAATCATGGTTTCAAAGCAGCAGGCCCAAGCCCCTGGTTTCTGAAGCCATGTTTCCCATTGGCTTAAATACCTTGCTTGTGAAAAAATGTGCAAGTTGCAATGTGCTCCAGCAATGCTTAAAATTTCAGTGTCATAGAGCTTGCATGGAATTACCTGTTTTGTTTTCATGACTTTTGTGGGTGGAAGGGACCAGCCAAGCAGTGTCTCCTTGGTCTGACAAAGTATTTGGCAGCCCTGTCCACTGTTAGAGAGAGAAGGAGCCCCTTCTTACACTGAAATACCCTTTGGGCTGGGGACCGGGAGTCCAGGGACGCTTACATCTAGTCAGGTTTCCTATTTTAGCTGCCTGATTTCTTTACCTTTAGTGAAAGGGCTTGAGAACTGATTGCAGTCGGCTGCAAGACTGCAGGCTGAGAACTGAAACACATTAAAACAAAATAATCTCTGGAGAAGGTTTCCACCAAACATGCAGTTTTACAACTGCATGAATGCAGTGGCAGATAGGGAAGGAAGCCTCTTTCTTTTCCAGCTCCCTACAGCCCCCTTCGCCCCCTACCGCTCCTCCCAAGGGAGTTTGCATTCTCTATACCGAGAACAGTCTAGGTATGCCCACGGGCTCCACAGCAAAGGCTCCCCTCTCCCCCTGCCAAAGGCTGCATCTTCATGACCCAGTCAGATTCTGTGACCTCTTTCAGGAGTTGTGATCCAAATGAATGGGAAGGCAAAGGTGGCTTTACAATGCTGCTGTGACTCCTGATTCCCAGCTACTCCTGGTATAAGGGAGGGCAGTCGCAGAGACTGCCTGCAGCT